GCGGATAGGGGAACGGCCGTCATCTCACGGCTAACCGTGAATAAGGTGGGACTCGGCCCTCCGAATAAGCGATCAGCGACAGCGCTCGAGGATGTGGTGGGTTTACCCCTGGCAAGGGTTCTCCGCACAAAACACCACATATCTGTGGACAGCGCGTTGACGTAGCTTTCTGATTACAACGATAGGCTTATTTTGTGATATCCAGAACCTTGTATTACTCACTATCGCTGCTTGAGAACTAGCATAATGCCAACGCAACAGTAGTGATAACAGATGATGGGATTGGGGTACAGAACAGAGCGGTGTGGAAGTCAAACAGATTGCAGACTAAGTCAACAAGAATAAAAATATTTTATGTGCTTCACCGTACAGCTTTTATCATTTTTGTGCCAATTTATCCTTTTGTTTGGTATACGTGAATTTAGCAGGTAGACCGTACCGGGTTCGCGCCACTTACTTCCGTTCGGGGCCGTATATTTCATCGATAATNTAATCCTTATCTGGAAGGCGCGCTGCACCAAACGAAACAAAACCTGAAGCCAACTCTCTCATACCGCTACACCATGTCTTTCACGAAGCCGACCTATTCTTCGCAGAGGTCATCATAATCAAGTAAAGTGAAGTTACTAGAGGTGTATCTTCGAGTACAGAGATCGAGTGGCACCGGTAATGACATTTTACGTCACGCTTCCTTAAGTCAACAAATCTAACTGAAATTATTACTGTGTATCGTGTTTCTCAACTACCTTCATATATGGTCCAGCACCAATGTTTTTCACGACCTGAATTTTTGGCGTGTGCACTATATCCATACATTCCTAATGTCATGCGAAAAACCCGTACGCAGTGTCATATGGTGTCTAGTTAAACATCCTCCCAAATTGGTGTGTTATCATCCGTCGGGTCACTTTTTACTTCCACTCTTCCAACCGCTTCGGAAATGATCACTTGTTTACCGTCAGATATGCCACAGTGATTTGGTAATCGGTGAATCTGCTAGTGTTTTCCCCACGAACACAACATTGTCCACCAGTTTCTGTTCAGTATTGATTGGTAACTTGTGTGTCAAATAAACCTCCGTAGATAGCTCAGATCTGGTACTATCAGTTCGTACCGGAACATTTTAAACAAATCGTAGTTCGCTTCCATTTTCATGATTTATATGTTTCACAGACAATACATTTGCATAAGTTGACGTGTCCTTTTTTTAATCCTTTGTCTCACACATGGCCTGCTAATTTTCTTTATTCCTCGTGTCTTTTTGTTTTTCTGACATTCTGTAGCCCCTCGATCCAAATACTCAAGTTCCAATTTTCCTGCTCACCTGCACAAGCCAGATTGAACGTATTGCTACCGAAAGTCTAACCGAAGCCACGGTGAATCCGGCCGCACAGCCAGTCGATCTTGTTTCTGTATATCAGCAGTCAGCGTCGGCAAGTACAATAGCCGAAATGCATCGAACATTCGCGTCCCGTTTACCTGTCCTGGACTCGGACAAAGACTCTTCAGAGCCACTGGACGTGGTCCGTCTCGCCCAACTGGTTAAAGCTTTTCTTCGGGATTTGCCCAATGCAGTGGTCCCGGAAAACCACTATCAAATGTTCTGTTCGTTGGCTAATAAATTAGACGATGCGGGTAAGATGAACGTAAAATTGAATAAGCTCTGGTTGAACTTCACATTAATTGAGCAATATATCATGACATAAGCCACAAATCTTTTTATTTCACATTTCAGTTTAATGGACAGAAACGTCGGTGAACTCCGTACACAGGAAAGTTTGCTGTTTGGTTTCGGGATTCGGATGGGTTGATCACATTGTATATTACATTTCAAAGGCATCTGAGTCCAGACTGTGTGCCAAGCAGATAATATTACAGCAATATTCGTAGCAAAGAAAACGGTCCATGGTTTTCTAGTGGGCGGAATATTGCCCGATTTGCCAGACCAAATCAGATGAATCTTCTCTGGGAATTTACAACCGGAGCCTTTGGCTGGTTTGGAATTAACCAACTTCCCTAAGTGAATTGCCAGTGGTCCACTGATCCGGTTATAGCCATGAATTGTGACTTTTCGTCCGCTCGTTTTGCTGGGAAAACACCTTCGCCACTGAAAGACTCCTTCAGCGGAGGCTGTTTGAGACACCTGGTTTTGTAGGTGCATTTCTCGAGGTGCAAGGGAAAAGTGACCTGCCACAACCCAAGACACTCACTCCTGAGCTGACGCTTTCGGAGGTTTTTGATCACACAAGACCTCGTTCGGTCAGGAAGCATGTCAGCATTGTTCAGACACGAATGTGAGTCGCGATCACTTTCATGTTCTGTTTGAAATCCTATTTTAGTGGTTTAATCTGCTTAGGGGATTATTAGGGTCTCATTGTTGACTTAGTCACTACCAGCGGCTCCCGTCCAACACGCTGTTTTTAATCAGTACGGTTTCATATTAAACCTTATTTTATGATTTTTTTATATCGAAGCATAATGGCTGAAAGAGCGATTTACACTAAACAGGTGAGATAATGCATGTTTCTAGAGATAATTCATAAATGGCTTCGTACCACATGTACTGCATTTGCACACTCTGCCAGGTCTCCGCTGTCGAGTGGTAAGCGAGACGAACTGGTTGTTCACTTCTCACTTTCTATCATTCTGGAAATAACTTGTAAACTAAAACAAATGCTCTCTAGCAAAGTGTTTTCCTCCATTAACCAGACAAGCTTGATTTCAAATCAGAACTTCTTGTTCGGCACTTGAAAGACGGACTATTACTCAGGTGATCACACTCATGGTACTGGATTGGGTTTATCGCTTGGTTTTTCGGCTGTGCACTGTCGCTTATCTTCCTTGTCCCACTCGCGTCTCGTCTTTTGATTCAGCATCCGATCGCACACGGGCCGTGCACGAGTTCCTTGCTGCATTACCCCAACCTCATCGGATTTGTCTGTGTCACGTGATGAAACATTTGGACTTCGTTTGGTCACATCAGCGCAAACTCCGCGATCATTTGAATGCAAATGATCCGGACTTGGGCCCGTGTCCTTCGGATATCACAACTTCCGGAAATCTCACCGTTCCTAACGCGACCGCGCCCTCATGGCGCCGGACGCGAAATCAACACCTAACTCGACCGGACAATTGGTTGCTCGTTTTCCGCCAGATTCTGGTTCGTCCTCCATGGCACTTGATCTCACACATCGCTACCCAATTAGGTGCACACTTGCAGGCATTGAAAGTTGTGTTTTACGCTCTGGCCACATCTCAACCACCTCCAACCCCCAGTCGAAGTGGGCAGTCCAGTCCGGCAGTGTTCCGTCCTCGTTTACCCTCGAATTTATCCACACCAGCTAGTCTTCCGATAGCTGCGAGACAGGTCACTTCGAGTGAGTCCGTTGGTTTTTTTTTCGTTTTAGCCAATTATTTGTCTGCGTCCTGTTTTAAGGATCTCAGTGGATAAGGAACGATCTATTCTAAACTCATCTCATGGTTCAACAAACTTCGTTGCTACTACCTTTGACCATTGCTCCAGTCTCAGATCACCATTGAAAATTTTTATTCTCATTTACAATCGATTCGAGTCTGATGATAGTAGACCTATCACCCGAATCTTGATCGGTGCATCTGATTCCTAGTTTCAAGCAATGCACATATTCGACGTGAATCGTATCTATCAGTACTCGGTTGACTTATTATTACTCGAGATGTCCATGCTGGTGATGCATACAAATTTATTTGGTTCACAACGTCATAGGGATGGCTGCATTAATACGGATGAAGACCACGCAACTTGAAAATTATTACAATCAGTTGTATCTTATCACGCGTACCGGTTTAAGAAAATTAGCTGTCAATAATTTTATTAGGGGTTTTGTCCGTGCATTGTTTCGCTCTGGGATACTCTGAAACTTAAGGTGGACCGCTTGAAGAAAGCCTTTTCTCTGCAAGTAAATTGGATTGTTTATCTGAAATGGAGAGAATGTCACAAATGACAAAACCATCCCCGAACCGGGTGTTTCCAGCGGTCTGTTCTGCTAAATAAGGATTGATTACAACGACGAATTTGGCGGAACAGTCGTCATTCAATTAGAGCACATGCGCGGGTTTCTAAAGATCTTTCACATGCTCATACTGTTGTGGAAAGCAGCACTCACTATAAGGTGTTTTTTCACAACTACCTTGAGGTGGTGTATTCGAATCCCGTTCTCACCGTTCATTTTCTCTACTTTCTGTTTCGCCAGATAGCCCGTGATTTACCGCAGCCCCCCGTCCTCGTAAAAACAGAATGTACTACCCCATATTCAGTAAATAAACCTAAATTCTGATACGTGATACCGTTAGCCACATATAACTCTAACAGGATAGGGGTTATATTGATCTAGATAATGACGATGTGAGTCGGTTGTGACACCAATTTACAAGACTCGAGGTGTATCCTGTCGAATGAATGCTCGAGGCCTAGAGCGAATGAAAGAAAATGTTTTCGGATGTCTTAACTCTGGGGTATCCATGACGTTCCGTAAACATCAATCAGATTTTCGGAGATACGTTCTGCAATAATAAGGATAGGCGTTTCGGGAGTGGTTTTCTTTAGAATTGTGTTATCCCCCTTTCACAATGGTCACGATAGTGCATTCGAGTTTTTAGACGTCCGTTCGATCAGATACGTATCCGCTCCCTACCATCACTTGTATTTGATGTGCATTGGTTATAGACAAGGTCAGTCGATGGATAACAAAAAGTTATTGATAGAATTGAAGGTGAAGGCACACAAACATTGGGTTAGATACAGAAGGACCATATTAAATTCAACTTGGTTTATCTCCGTCAGTTTCACCCGGATATTGGCTAGTGGCGTACCTCGTCTTCCGTGTACTATCCCTGCTGTTTTGACTCGATCGTTACGTGCATTGCATTGATGAATAGCTCTGTTGTTGAGTCATGTTGGGATCGTCTTTATAATAACCTACCAATAATATGACGAGCTTTATTTGTCACCTCGTTCGTTTCGAGTTGGGTTAAACGTTTTCCTGGGCGATATCTTTGTACGTAGTGTCTGCATGACACTGCGGTATTTCCAACTGGTTGCTTTCTCCTTCTTACACCAACCTCCATAACACATTAAGATCTTACCAGTTTCACGGTACCATGCTCTTCTATCTGATGCCTATCCTTAATCCTTTATCATGAGGTGTCAGTGGTCGAGTGATATCACTCACTGATGCCGCTGTGATCGAATGAGTTTTCATTTTTTGCTTGCACCCACTTGTGAGTGGTGAATTAATTGTTTACGCTTAGTCACACTGATAAAAATTCATTTAAGCTCTAAGCAACTCTTCGACCGCTTAGTTAATTGACACACCTATCGTCCTCGAGCATTACCTGGCTTCTCCGAATCGTCTCTGCAATAAATGGAAAGCGATGATATTGTGATTCTTA